GATTTGAAATCTTTGCTAAAAGACTGTTGTGACGTTTCCATGTTGCTCATGAAAACATGTTTGGACAGATATGGATGTTTGCTCTTACCGCTTTGCTTTTTGACAGTTATGATGAGCAACCATGGCAACAAGGTGTTTTTACAATCAAGAGCCAAATAAAAAGAATATTTTAGTCTTTCAAACATTTTAAAGGGAATTTTTAGGTTTGTTAAAGTATAAATAAGTTTATTTGCAGTAGAAAATTTTCATTGAAAAACAGTCTTTAGTCAGAGGCTTCTTCAAAGTCGTAGTAGTACAGACTGCTACAGGAGAGCCTTCCTGCTCAGACGTCACCGTCTACAACTAAATGAGTTGCATTTAATTTCCCGTTTGAATTTACTTTTTAAACCATTTTACTTTTGCATGTTGATTACTTCCACTGGAAACATTTTTATAAGTTTTTCCAAATTATTTTTTTCAATTAATTTCAAACATCCTTCAGAATCAGTTTATTCATTGTGTGATTTACTAAGTTTATCCATTAACTATATTTGTCTTTTTGGACACTTTCAATATGAACAATCTTTAAATATTTGCATGTTTATTGAATTGTTTTCCCCAAAATAAAATAGTTGCTTTATTTTTAACTCAAGTATTGAGTTCTGTGTAATACTTTTTTTTCCCATCAAGCAGAAGTAAAAAAACAAGTAGCAGCTCGTATTAGAATACCTATTACACAAAATTAACTTTTTGCATTACCTGTATTTATATATGTCTCAATTTGCTTTGAAAACCAGCTCAAACACTAAAAAAAACTTTGTTTGGCAACAAGTCAATGTTTTTTCCTATTCAAAAAGCCACGATCAACAGGAACTGTGCCGTTACCTAGCAACCCCAGCAAAGCTCACCGTTACCTAGCAACCCAAACTAAATTCCAGGAATGTTTGATCAGCTGGTTTCACCTCTGAATGTGCTGTACAATGGCTGCTGGAACAGAGAAGTATTTTGTTGACTTACCATCCAGAAACCACTTGCTGCAGTCTTGTTTGTTGAGCAGGAGGCTCCACTTCTGCTGTTCAAATATGGATGGTTGTATACATACATTTTATTTTTTGCAGCCATTTTGACTTGAGTTTAAACATTGAATTAGGGGGAGTGGCCAGTAGCAGCTTATTTGGATTTAAAGTGACAAGAGGCTCAAAACAGAATTGATGAGAATAAAATCTCATTATGTCAGGATGATTTTATGCAAAATGTAACAGACATGCCTGTTCAATGAAGAACAACATGTCACCTTTAATGTGCAGTAAATAAATGCTCGGTAGTCATCTGTACATGGCAACCGGGTTGCCAAGTTCACCATAATCAGGCTCAGATCGTTGGTTTGAATAAAGTTTGAGTCACACCGTCTCATGAAAACCATCTGTTTTAATTTCATCATAGACACAAAAATAAGCTACAAAAAAGACCAATTGAAGTTACCAGATGACCACAGACCGGCATTCCTTCCCCAAAAAAGCACAATGTAGAAGAATGTCAGCCACCGCTCCGGTCACGTGATGTCACATCAAGGGTCAAGGGTCACACAAACACGCGGTGGGTTCACATGGAAATGTGAGAACAGTCACAGAGGTACAGTCAGACCAGCAGCACCCCGTCACAACGAGACAACAATCATCTTTGGCGTCTTTCTTGGTGCGGCTGGTCTCACACACACACACACACACACACACACACACACACACACACACACACACACACACACACACACACACACACACACGATGGGCAGGGTGGGAAAGAGTGAGGACACAGAGTCAGGAAGAACGTTTATTTGTAAACGGAGGTATTCATCTGAGGGAAGGTTTTGCTACCAGTGTTCAGAGAAAGCAAAGTGAAGTTTAACCCTGTGAGCCTCAATAAATATAAAAATCTAAATCTGACAAATTCGTACCTCAGTTAAGGTCAGAGTTCATGACTCAGTAAGACAGACAATTGATTAAAAAAAACAGCATAATTAGAAACATTTTAAAGCCGAAACATCTAGGAAGTTAATCTGAGGACTGACCAGACTGAAACTGAATTTGTTCAAATTGTTTCGTTTTGCGTCTGGTTTAAAACTGACGGCTTTGAAAAAATACAAACCACAAACAGTTGAATGTGATTGCTATTTTGCTTGAGGACCCTAAAATCTGACTTATTTGCCAGCAGTACGGCTGAAACAATCAGAGTAATCTAGATGAATTGATTATAGAAATAATCAACTAATTTAGTAGTTGATGAATCGTTAACTGGAGTATGTAGACTCTACAGGAGGGCATGTGAGCAGCAATGAAGCCAAAACTGTACAGAATACATATATTTTATGTTTTTTAAGATTAAAAAAAGACCTCCATCTTTACCCAGAATTCAAGTAGCATCGTTTAGCTTCACCTGGTTCAAATTCTTAAATTTTTTTAAAAAACCTGTTAATTATCTTTTACTATCCAATTAATAACCGGTTAATAAAGTAATCAATGAACAGATCAGCTCTACACTTTATAGATGTTGAGCATGAATGTTTGGGTTTTTAACATGTTGATGTTAAAAATATATTTTTAACTGCAGATGCATCCTTTGCTTCAAATGATTAAACGTTCACTAAAGGAACAGCTGCTGTTGCATTTTAGGTAATAAAATGTTTATTTTCTTTGCTCTTGTCAGCAGAATATCTGACCTTTAGTCGCCTGTCATGATACATTTTGATGGACAATAAATTGTCACAGAAGTTATTGCCATAAAGGATAATACTGTCATTTTGAAACTACACTGCTCAAAAAAATAAAGGGAACACTCAAATAACACATCCTAGATCTGAATGAATGAAATATTCTCATTGAATACTTTGTTCTGTACAAAGCTGAATGTGCTGACAACAAAATCACACAAAAATCATCAATGGAAATCAAATTTATTAACCAATGGAGGCCTGGATTTGGAGCCACACACACAATTAAAGGGAAATGTTCCCTTTATTTTTTTGAGCAGTATATTTCTAATATAATAATAATAACAACAACTACATATTAATAATCACATATTAATGTGAGTACGCCCTCAAAGATAAAAATAACTTTAATTTCTAAAGAACATTTAACTGGAAAACGTTTTAAATATTGTAAATAAACAAAACAATAATTAAAATGGATTAAGAAGTCTCTGTAACCAAAACTGGATTTAAAAAACAACAACAAAAAAAAACAATTATTCAGTTTTGACAGGGAAAATGGGCAAAAGAGGCAAGCAGTGCAAACCAACTTCTTCACCATCCTCAAAATGCCGACTTTTCCACGATAATTAAAAACTAGCATCTCTACTGACTCATTTTAATTTATCATGCGATCATTTGACTTATTGCTTATTGTGACATTAGTTTTCAGCTTAAAGGTTCAAGTGTCTTGGGGTTATGCAGTGGTCTTTAATATACATAATCAAGTGGCATACTAATTGCAACGTTGCTATTGAAAAAATATGAATTTGATTCTGGTATCTGCTTCCACAAGGGACGCTTTGATCAAGATTTTTGTCCTTGATAGCAGTCCGTCTAGTCAAAGTCTGGGGTTAAATCTGATTGAGATGTTGCAGCATGACGCAAAGAACACCAATTCCTGCACAACAATCTAACAACACTCATCACCAATGCAAGATGGCAGGTGTTAGCAGGGTTAGCATGTAGCTAATATATAAACACATGGAGGCTAACAGTGTTAAAGTATTGAAACTTCACTTTGTTTTCCATGCGAACACGCCAGAAATAAACAGAGTGTCGTGTAAAACAATCCCACCGCTGACGAGCTGAGAAGAGGTTGAAAGCCAAGCGACGACTTGCACTTTGCATTGAGCTTTTTCAGTCCTGCATAGATCTTTTTCACACTTATTCGATACAAACTAAGGCGTTTTGTTATATTAAGTTGGTTTGAGTAAGTAAGCAGTGAAACATTAAAAACAAAATATTCAAGTAGGCTACAATCCTCCCCCCTCTCACAGGCGTAAAGAAAAAAAAACGGTTTCCTCTGCTCAGAAGAGGATCACTAAACTTTCTCAATTCAAGTTTTTTTCTTCTTGTTTAAATATCCAGGGAAAAAAAAAAAAAAAAAAGGTCCAGTGTGACTAAACAGCACCAAAAACACGGTGAGCAAAGAGACGGCCGTCTAACCTTCACTTGCTCGTCACTGTGAAAGGAGAACGAGTCCTTAGAGAATAATCTGGATAGAAATTAACAGTATTATATGCTCTTCTTCTATGTACAAACGCACATTCAAGTCAACCTCAGCACTCGCACTCATGGTTTTGTCCCTGTGAATTAAAAAATAATTTATCAGTATTAATTTAAGCTACTACTTAACAGTCATCAGTGGGAGCAGAGAAACGGACACGACGATTCCCACGATCGACAAAAAAAACAGAAAAACTTACATCATTTCCTGCTCTTCCTGTTTGTTTTTTTCCTTTGTGATAAGAAGCGTCCTGTAATACCACATATTCCTTAAATATAAATCATAAAATGGAGCGTACCGCTGCTCTACACTCATTCCACAGTGATCGAGGTCAGTCATATGTAAACATGTCGACAAAAATAAAAATAAAAGAAACTCAACAAAAGGAAGCGCTCTCCTCATTCACTCAGTCTCGGTTCGCCGCCGCTGCTCGTAGGGAGGAGAAACTCGACCTCCTTCAGGTCCGTTACCAAGGAGACGTTGGAGCTCCGCCCCCTCCCTACCTCGGGGCAGTCCATCGGAGCGGAGGATTCCTATTGGTCAGCGTGTGACGTCGCCCATCGCCTCCTGCGCTCTTATTGGTCAGTGGGTTTTCCGCTTCATGTCTCCACTCTGGCTTTGGTTCGAGTCTGAGAGCAAGGAGCAAAGATTTTAACATTAAAGCTGCAGTATCAAAGTCTATTTTAAAAATACTTTTTTTTTGTACATATTTGTTAAAAGAGTCATCATATTTTGGGAAAATTAATCTGTGAAAATAATGAACCTCCTCCCTGCACTGTTATTGTCGTCTCAAAAGAATTAAGAGCTCCCGGTCAAAAATAACCAATCAGAGGCAGGAGGAGGGGCTTAGCGCTGTCAATCAACCTCATGAACATGCTGCTAATGACGGAGAAACAACTTGCAGTTAAAGGAAAACTGTTTATCTGCTTGAAATAAAACAAAACTTCAGCAAGGAATAAGCACTTGTTTTAAGCAAATAAATCCTTAATATTAATGAAAAAGTACTATTTCCACAGGTGGATTATTTTGCTTTTAAAAGCGGAAAAATGTCTTGTTATGAGTAAAATAATTACCCAGTGGAAACAGTACAGTACAAGGTCCATACTGTGTTTTTCCCACAGTAAAAATCAAACATTTCCACATTTTCAAGGTAAGTTTCAAATTTTTCCAGCACCTCATTTGGAGATAAACAATACAAATTAACAAATTAACTAAAAAAACAGTTCCAACTCACTATTATATGGTATAATTTATTAATAATGTTTTGTGATTGTATTCTACACCAGGTAAACTAAGACCAACTAAAATATTACACTATGTGTCTCTCTTACACCAGACTGGTCTAATTTAACAAAAGAAATCCCACAATTTCAATAACTTTAACGCATAAAATGTAAGATAACCTTTAAGTTACACAGTTCAATAAGTCAGTTATTAGGAATAATAAACGGCTTTTAATCAAACGTTACATTGATTAAATATTTGTTACAAAATTGTCCAGTTTATATAGAATTTAAGCACTTTCCAACCTCACTGAAATTCAAGCATTTTCAAGGATTTCAAGCACCTATACAAACCGGGATAAATACTTCTGCAGTGTTTAACATGCTGAGAATCAAAACAGCAGCAGGTTGACTAGACAGCGACAGTCGGGGACCAGAGGTGGTAGGATAAAAAAAGAGGAGGCATGCAGATTACCTGAAAAAGCAAGCTGCAAGTGAGGAGGTAGGGCAGCCTGCGACCCTGACTGGAGGCTCTTATACAGATCTGAGGAGGGAAGGGCAGACAAATGAGAAGAAAGACCGCAACAAGAACCACAACGTGTGAAAGACGAAAACACATTAAACAACATAAACCTGCGGCTCAAAGCAAGATGGAGTTTAAGGTTGATGTGATAAATGGGTGGAAAGTTGCAGCACAGAGTGGAAGCACTTCCGCAGAAAATAAACCGAGACCGAGAGTATTGTCAAGTTATTGTCAAATAGGAAAGTTATTACCATTTTGACCCAATTATCAATTAATTTGAGGTAAATTCAGGTTATTTTCTAGGAATAATGCCTCGCAGACGATTAAACAAAATAAGCATCCTATTTGATGCTTTACTTAGCTTTATTTGACACATTGCATGTTATTGTTTACATCTGGATATTTCGCGCATGCGCACAACGCTAAAGGGCAAGACGATTATCAGAACAACTCCGTTCACTTATTGAAACATGGAGATGTAGGTGTTACCGATTCAGTGCAGTGTGCCTCAGCAAAGACAAAAATAACGCAGAAAAGCCGTTAAAGTAAAACTCAAAACCACTTTTTTTCTCTCTGTGCGTCAGTTACGCTACACGCAGACTCGTTGCCATAGAAACTGACAACGACGCCACTTTATGTATCGGTATTCAACATAAAAAAATAAAATAAAAAACACTCAAACATTTCCCACAGAAAGAACATAACATTCAGTCCGTTGCAGTATTATGTTTTTAGGTTTGATGTTTATTTTGTGATTATTACTGAGTGATAGCTGTGGTAGATTAGCTACCGCTGCTATTAGCTAACTCGGTAATTAGATTAGCTTCCGCTGCTATTAGCCAAGCTAACACTGCCGTGGTAGATTAGCCAATTTAAACACCTGCTTTACCGATGATCTGTCGGAGTTGGTGTTTGGGTCACCTTTTTTTTTAATATTTCGTAACTGAACCGTAACAAACCGAATTCCACATCGCATCTACATGTTACGGTTGTCAAAATCAAGCAAGTCTGACTGAACTACTCCCCTCTTCCTCGCTATTTTTTTACTACATTAAAACTTTTTCCTGACCTTCTGTAGTGTTGACGATTAGTAGGAAAGCACTGCGTCCCTTTTTCTTTTATACATCAGGCGGACATTTAAGGTTCACCGTGTTATATTGAGAACAGCTAAAACCAATTATGCTAATCATCGTCTGCCAGCAGCGTTTTGCCCCACAGCAGGCGTGACGTCACGCAAGACTGAGTACCAAAGGTGTTTGGGTTCTGATCTTAAACCGGTACTTACAGGAAAAACACATGTTGTCTTTGTTCATCCACCTACTCAGCTGCAGTCTGCAGATGGAGCAGCTGCCAACGTCAACACACCTACGCTGCTTGTTAAGCAACTAATTAGTCCCAATTATACACATTCTCTGAATTACAACCCCAACTCTTGAAAAATTGTACATTTAAAACCAGAATGTACATAGTTAGTTTCACAGGTATCATCATCATCTGGATAATAATTTCTGCTTGTTCAGAAGTGATCATTTAGACTGATTTGAATACATTCATCCATTAGAAGCTGAATAATTTGATCAAATTATTGTCAGCAGCAGCAGGACATCCGGTTTTGAAAACTTATCAAAGCTTTTACAACTTTTTTCTATTAATACTGCATCATTATTTTACTTGTATTATAACTCTGTTGTCATATTTATTATAACTTGCTATCACATGTCTGCTTTGCCCCCTAGTGGGCTTGTGGAGAACTGCAGATGGCTTTATTTCTACAGGATATTTTTCTGCTTAGTGGACAGATTGGCCCTTAGGAGGACCCTTCATTATGATAATGTCTCAATGCGTTTTCATTCATTCACATTTTCAGTAATAAATCCATTTTTATTGAGTTTCATCAGCTGAGCATTCACTCACCCATTAGGTCGCTCTGTGCTAGAGGGTATCCTGAGTTGGAGCTGGGGGTTGAGCCCATGCTAGCCGCACTTGCAGCTCCAGGAGCGCTGAAATTTAGTAACGGGGGAAACTGGAAGGGCAGAGAGACAGGAACCAGACCTCCCAGCATGCCGAAGCCCAGAGGGAGAGCAGAGTGGTTGGTGAGGAGAGGGGAGCCTGCAGCCGATACCTGGCAGATATAGAAAAAAAAATTTCCATCTTAAATATATACATATGTATTTTTTTAATGTAATTTTAAAGGCAACTAATTGTGCTTTCTTGTATAGGTCTGTGAGCTTAAAAAAAATGTTTATTACACTTTTGTTGCATAAAATCATTCTTGGATAAAGAGTCTGATCAGTTCAGCCTATTTTGAGCTGTTTTAAGGCCTCCTGTCACTTTAAATCCAAGTAAGCTCTTGCCACACAATTCTTACTCTGAAATGGATGCAAACAGATATTCACCTTTGAAAAGCATTAGTAGAGCCTCCTGCATAACCAACAAGAATGCAGTAAGTGGTTTCTGAATTTTAAGTCAACAAAACATGCGTCTTTTCCAGCAGCCATTGTACAGCACATCCAGTGGTAAAACCAGCTGAAAAAAACATGCTGCAACTTAGCTTGAGTTGTTAGGCAACAGTAAAGTTCCCACCCATTGTGACTCAAAAACAACCTAAGTGCTTTAAAAAGCCAATTTTTGGCAATAAACTAATGTTTTTTGTTGTGTGGAGAATGAGCAGTTTCAAAAACCTACAGATTCAGTCACAATTAACAGGTACTGTGCGATTTCCTTAAAAACTAATCTAAGCTCCAGGATGTTCAGTCAGCTGGTTTAACCACTGTACAATGGCTGCTGGAAAAGAAAAGTGATTTGTTGTTGACTTACCATCCAGGAACCGCTTGATGAGTTCTTGTTGGTTGTGCAGGAGGTTCTACTAATGCTTTGCAAAGATGTACAAATAAATGAACACCCTTCTAATTTTTGTCATTTTAATTTATGATTTGTTTAAAAACTGACCTGTGAGAGATGCGACGTTGTAGCAGACGTAGCCAGAGTGCCTGAAGGTGCCCAGCCGTTTCCCGCCTTAGAGCTCTGGATGGCCCCGCCCACCGAGACCCTCTGCCTCTGATTGGCCAAAGCTGAAGCTGTGGAAGAGGGCGGAGTTTTATCTCCCTTATTGTTGGCGCTGCTGCTGGGCGGTGGCTGAGGCTTCTGGACGAAGCTGCAGCCAGCAGGCGGCGCCGGCTTCACCGGCCCGCCGCCCGACACGCTGAAGGGGGTCCGGAAGGTTTTGGGGGTTTTGGAAGCGTACTGGTGCTGCTGATGGGAGAGCTGGTGCGACGGCGAGGACGACGGGGACGGGGAGGAAGACGGGGGCGGTGTGGGCGCGGGGGGCCGAGGGGTGAGCTTGATGATGGGGGAGGAGTTGCTGCTGTGGGACGACTTGGTGAGGGTGGCCTGCATGGGCGTGATGAAGTTGGCCTGGTGGTGATGGTGTGACTGGGGTTTACTCTGGGAGGTGGGGGACGGCGAGGAGGACGGGGCCGGGGACGGCGGGTGGAACGACTGTGGGACGTGGTGGGACGTAGAGTTGGAGCGGGGCTGCGTCGAAGGCGAGGAGGAGGAAGGCGGCTGGACGGGGCCGCTCAGGGCGCCGCCGCCATTGCTGCTGCTAATGCCGCTGGGTTTGACGGCGGTCTTGGAAACGCCTCCCAGTGTTCCCAGTATCCCTGCTGGGCAGGTGAAGCCTTTCTGGTGGGGAGGCAGCAGAGGGGAAGCAGTGGGCGGAGGCCGCTGCTTCGGAGGCGAAGGAGAAGGATGGGGGTGCATCTTCCCCATCGCCGCCTGTGGCCTGTGACTGGGCGTCACCATGGTAACGTGTCTCTGAGTCTGAGCCAGGCAGCCCTTGACCTGCCCGTAGTGACAATCTGCAGTCCTGGAGGCCAACGAGAGGCCGGGGGTGTGCAGGTGAGCCATGGAGGAGACAACAGGAGAAGTAGAAGAAGAGGAAGAGGTAGAGGAAGATGTTCCTGATAGGTTCCCCACAGAGGCAGCAGGAGGAAGAGGAGCGGGCTCTGCCTTCACCAGGGAATGCTGCT